CGACTCTGAGGATCCCCTTGTGTGTGGTTTGCTGGGGCGCGTTTTTGTGTGTCGTTGGGGATGTGTGAAATTGAGCTAGCAATTTGGCGCAGAGGAAGCGTGTTGGGCTCATAACCCAAAGGTCGTTGGATCGAGACCAACAAGTGCTAACTTTTACCCGCGCCGTTCGGGTGCTCCCTCGCCTCTTTGTTGCGGCTTCTAGCGGCTTCCGCCTGTCCTGCTGCCCCTCCACGCTGCCTGCACTGACCCCGCCTTCGCCCCTCGTGCCTGGCAGGCCGCACAACGACGGCGGGATCGAGTCCCGCCACGGTTCAAGCGGTGGGTTGGTAAACCCGGCGGCGCGGCACCAGGCAACAGTAGGGGCGTGTCCACGACGCGCTGTCGCGCCTGGCGGTGTGTGATGGGCCCTGGTTTGGTCGCGCGGCGGCGAGGCGCCTGTGCGCAGTGGCAGTTTGTTGTGCCGCGGGTACGTGTACCTAGGTTTGGTGGGAGATATCTCGTGAACGATAAGCTCGTTGGGGGCATCAATTGTCGGTCTGGAGAGCTCGCGCGCGGGCGTTTGCGTTGGTTTGTGTGTGGTTTGCTGGGGCGCGTTTTTGTGTGTCGTTGGGGATGTGTGAAATTGAGCTAGCACTTTGGCGCAGAGGAAGCGTGTTGGGCTCATAACCCAAAGGTCGTTGGATCGAGACCAACAAGTGCTAACTTTTACCCGCGCCGTTCGGGTGCTCCTTCGCCTCTTTTTTGCGGCTTCTAGCGGCTTCCGCCTGTCCTGCTGCCCCTCCACGCTGCCTGCACTGACCCCGCCTTCGCCCCTCGTGCCTGGCAGGCCGCACAACGACGGCGGGATCGAGTCCCGCCACGGTTCAAGCGGTGGGTTGGTAAACCCGGCGGCGCGGCGCCAGGCAACAGTAGGGGCGTGTCCACGACGCGCTGTCGCGCCTGGCGGTGTGTGATGGGCCCTGGTTTGGTCGCGCGGCGGCGAGGCGCCTGTGCGCAGTGGCAGTTTGTTGTGCCGCGGGTACGTGTACCTAGGTTTGGTGGGAGATATCTCGTGAACGATAAGCTCGTTGGGGGCATCAATTGTCGGTCTGGAGAGCTCGCGCGCGGGCGTTTGCGTTGGTTTGTGTGTGGTTTGCTGGGGCGCGTTTTTGTGTGTCGTTGGGGATGTGTGAAATTGAGCTAGCACTTTGGCGCAGAGGAAGCGTGTTGGGCTCATAACCCAAAGGTCGTTGGATCGAGACCAACAAGTGCTAACTTTTACCCGCGCCGTTCGGGTGCTCCTTCGCCTCTTTGTTGCGGCTTCTAGCAGCTTCCGCCTGTCCTGCTGCCCCTCCACGCTGCCTGCACTGACCCCGCCTTCGCCCCTCGTGCCTGGCAGGCCGCACAACGACGGCGGGATCGAGTCCCGCCACGGTTCAAGCGGTGGGTTGGTAAACCCGGCGGCGCGGCACCAGGCAACAGTAGGGGCGTGTCCACGACGCGCTGTCGCGCCTGGCGGTGTGTGATGGGCCCTGGTTTGGTCGCGCGGCGGCGAGGCGCCTGTGCGCAGTGGCAGTTTGTTGTGCCGCGGGTACGTGTACCTAGGTTTGGTGGGAGATATCTCGTGAACGATAAGCTCGTTGGGGGCATCAATTGTCGGTCTGGAGAGCTCGCGCGCGGGCGTTTGCGTTGGTTTGTGTGTGGTTTGCTGGGGCGCGTTTTTGTGTGTCGTTGGGGATGTGTGAAATTGAGCTAGCACTTTGGCGCAGAGGAAGCGTGTTGGGCTCATAACCCAAAGGTCGTTGGATCGAGACCAACAAGTGCTAACTTTTACCCGCGCCGTTCGGGTGCTCCTTCGCCTCTTTTTTGCGGCTTCTAGCGGCTTCCGCCTGTCCTGCTGCCCCTCCACGCTGCCTGCACTGACCCCGCCTTCGCCCCTCGTGCCTGGCAGGCCGCACAACGACGGCGGGATCGAGTCCCGCCACGGTTCAAGCGGTGGGTTGGTAAACCCGGCGGCGCGGCACCAGGCAACAGTAGGGGCGTGTCCACGACGCGCTGTCGCGCCTGGCGGTGTGTGATGGGCCCTGGTTTGGTCGCGCGGCGGCGAGGCGCCTGTGCGCAGTGGCAGTTTGTTGTGCCGCGGGTACGTGTACCTAGGTTTGGTGGGAGATATCTCGTGAACGATAAGCTCGTTGGGGGCATCAATTGTCGGTCTGGAGAGCTCGCGCGCGGGCGTTTGCGTTGGTTTGTGTGTGGTTTGCTGGGGCGCGTTTTTGTGTGTCGTTGGGGATGTGTGAAATTGAGCTAGCAATTTGGCGCAGAGGAAGCGTGTTGGGCTCATAACCCAAAGGTCGTTGGATCGAGACCAACAAGTGCTAACTTTTACCCGCGCCGTTCGGGTGCTCCCTCGCCTCTTTGTTGCGGCTTCTAGCAGCTTCCGCCTGTCCTGCTGCCCCTCCACGCTGCCTGCACTGACCCCGCCTTCGCCCCTCGTGCCTGGCAGGCCGCACAACGACGGCGGGATCGAGTCCCGCCACGGTTCAAGCGGTGGGTTGGTAAACCCGGCGGCGCGGCACCAGGCAACAGTAGGGGCGTGTCCACGACGCGCTGTCGCGCCTGGCGGTGTGTGATGGGCCCTGGTTTGGTCGCGCGGCGGCGAGGCGCCTGTGCGCAGTGGCAGTTTGTTGTGCCGCGGGTACGTGTACCTAGGTTTGGTGGGAGATATCTCGTGAACGATAAGCTCGTTGGGGGCATCAATTGTCGGTCTGGAGAGCTCGCGCGCGGGCGTTTGCGTTGGTTTGTGTGTGGTTTGCTGGGGCGCGTTTTTGTGTGTCGTTGGGGATGTGTGAAATTGAGCTAGCACTTTGGCGCAGAGGAAGCGTGTTGGGCTCATAACCCAAAGGTCGTTGGATCGAGACCAACAAGTGCTAACTTTTACCCGCGCCGTTCGGGTGCTCCCTCGCCTCTTTGTTGCGGCTTCTAGCAGCTTCCGCCTGTCCTGCTGCCCCTCCACGCTGCCTGCACTGACCCCGCCTTCGCCCCTCGTGCCTGGCAGGCCGCACAACGACGGCGGGATCGAGTCCCGCCACGGTTCAAGCGGTGGGTTGGTAAACCCGGCGGCGCGGCACCAGGCAACAGTAGGGGCGTGTCCACGACGCGCTGTCGCGCCTGGCGGTGTGTGATGGGCCCTGGTTTGGTCGCGCGGCGGCGAGGCGCCTGTGCGCAGTGGCAGTTTGTTGTGCCGCGGGTACGTGTACCTAGGTTTGGTGGGAGATATCTCGTGAACGATAAGCTCGTTGGGGGCATCAATTGTCGGTCTGGAGAGCTCGCGCGGGGGCGTTTGCGTTGGTTTGTGTGTGGTTTGCTGGGGTGCGTTTTTGTGTGTCGTTGGGGATGTGTGAAATTGAGCTAGCACTTTGGCGCAGAGGAAGCGTGTTGGGCTCATAACCCAAAGGTCGTTGGATCGAGACCAACAAGTGCTAACTTTTACCCGCGCCGTTCGGGTGCTCCTTCGCCTCTTTGTTGCGGCTTCTAGCAGCTTCCGCCTGTCCTGCTGCCCCTCCACGCTGCCTGCACTGACCCCGCCTTCGCCCCTCGTGCCTGGCAGGCCGCACAACGACGGCGGGATCGAGTCCCGCCACGGTTCAAGCGGTGGGTTGGTAAACCCGGCGGCGCGGCACCAGGCAACAGTAGGGGCGTGTCCACGACGCGCTGTCGCGCCTGGCGGTGTGTGATGGGCCCTGGTTTGGTCGCGCGGCGGCGAGGCGCCTGTGCGCAGTGGCAGTTTGTTGTGCCGCGGGTACGTGTACCTAGGTTTGGTGGGAGATATCTCGTGAACGATAAGCTCGTTGGGGGCATCAATTGTCGGTCTGGAGAGCTCGCGCGCGGGCGTTTGCGTTGGTTTGTGTGTGGTTTGCTGGGGTGCGTTTTTGTGTGTCGTTGGGGATGTGTGAAATTGAGCTAGCACTTTGGCGCAGAGGAAGCGTGTTGGGCTCATAACCCAAAGGTCGTTGGATCGAGACCAACAAGTGCTAACTTTTACCCGCGCCGTTCGGGTGCTCCCTCGCCTCTTTGTTGCGGCTTCTAGCGGCTTCCGCCTGTCCTGCTGCCCCTCCACGCTGCCTGCACTGACCCCGCCTTCGCCCCTCGTGCCTGGCAGGCCGCACAACGACGGCGGGATCGAGTCCCGCCACGGTTCAAGCGGTGGGTTGGTAAACCCGGCGGCGCGGCACCAGGCAACAGTAGGGGCGTGTCCACGACGCGCTGTCGCGCCTGGCGGTGTGTGATGGGCCCTGGTTTGGTCGCGCGGCGGCGAGGCGCCTGTGCGCAGTGGCAGTTTGTTGTGCCGCGGGTACGTGTACCTAGGTTTGGTGGGAGATATCTCGTGAACGATAAGCTCGTTGGGGGCATCAATTGTCGGTCTGGAGAGCTCGCGCGCGGGCGTTTGCGTTGGTTTGTGTGTGGTTTGCTGGGGCGCGTTTTTGTGTGTCGTTGGGGATGTGTGAAATTGAGCTAGCACTTTGGCGCAGAGGAAGCGTGTTGGGCTCATAACCCAAAGGTCGTTGGATCGAGACCAACAAGTGCTAACTTTTACCCGCGCCGTTCGGGTGCTCCTTCGCCTCTTTTTTGCGGCTTCTAGCGGCTTCCGCCTGTCCTGCTGCCCCTCCACGCTGCCTGCACTGACCCCGCCTTCGCCCCTCGTGCCTGGCAGGCCGCACAACGACGGCGGGATCGAGTCCCGCCACGGTTCAAGCGGTGGGTTGGTAAACCCGGCGGCGCGGCACCAGGCAACAGTAGGGGCGTGTCCACGACGCGCTGTCGCGCCTGGCGGTGTGTGATGGGCCCTGGTTTGGTCGCGCGGCGGCGAGGCGCCTGTGCGCAGTGGCAGTTTGTTGTGCCGCGGGTACGTGTACCTAGGTTTGGTGGGAGATATCTCGTGAACGATAAGCTCGTTGGGGGCATCAATTGTCGGTCTGGAGAGCTCGCGCGCGGGCGTTTGCGTTGGTTTGTGTGTGGTTTGCTGGGGCGCGTTTTTGTGTGTCGTTGGGGATGTGTGAAATTGAGCTAGCACTTTGGCGCAGGAAGCGTGTTGGGCTCATAACCCAAAGATCGTTGCCTCATCTTCCAGTAATATGCCTTCACATATTTTATTTCCGATTTATTCAAGTTGTCTCCATCATTAGCCCGTTTAGATGTTGTGAGGCGAGACCCTTCGACACTCGATTGCGATGGTCCTTGTACAGTTTATTGCCGCTGGGCTGTCGGACGCGGGATCGACCCTTATCAGATTGTCCAGCACCTGGGATGAATTGTAATAAAGCGCAGTCGGGCAACGATATACGTATTTACCCGTTACTTCGGCTGCCATCAGCACTGGATCATCAACACCACGCTTGTACATCTCACGGTGCTCATGCTGGAACTCACCTCCGGCATACAAGGCTACAAAGTTAGCTGCAAACTTACCGGTCCTCATGAAGCGTTGCAGTTCGGAAGCGTGCCGATGACGCCTGTCCACTTTCCTTTCGCCTTCTTGCGTCGACATGAAGGAAAACTCGTTTTTTGGGCTGTTCGGCTGGCGCACGTAGTTGTACCATAAAGCTTTCCAACACGGCTTTGGCGCTACGCTGTGGAGGCAGTTTCGGGACGAGCAGAATGGATTTCAAATTTATGGCAATCGTGATGGCTGGTGAAACAGCGAACTGACCATCGAATTTCTGATTTACCACTTTCTGTAGAGGAAAGACATGCACGTGCCCATATTGCAGTTGCTCGACGACTTTTCCGGGCATTGGCTTTTGGACGTGAAATTATTCATGCGGCTGATAAACGTAGAGCTCATGCCCATTCCGCATGACTACACTTTTGCTTGTCAGCCTGGATATATCTCTTGGAATAAGCCTTTAGAAGAGACTATGCGCAAGAATTGGGTGGGTAATATGCTGCAACAACTCCGCACATCAACCACGTTCAAGCTAAAAGCACCCTAGCGGCGACAGCTAAGCCGCTGGACGAAAGAAGCGTGGAGGTCGCTGTTGGCTGCAGCCGTGAAGAGTGGGTTTGTGAAGGCGATGATCGTGCCTAAGCAAGGTGTGGACGCTTGCGCTCCCGACCAGAATCTACTTGATACCGAACCTGAATGGGCACTGCTGAAACAACTGCTCGAAGAGGTCCCTGTGATTCGCCACTTTGTTGACCCGAACCGAGACATTGAAACGCTGGTACCAGTAGTAGCAGACGTAGATAGCGAGGCTTTATGAACCCAATAGAGAAGCTGAAATAGCTGCTCAATAGTACATGTATTTGGATCGATGATATCTATGGTACAGAGATGCGTACATTCTGTGCACTAAATACGACACCACAACTTCAATATTTTGGGGTCCGAAGTAGGAGATCTCATATACCGTAAAGGCGAGTTAGCGGCACCAGTCAAAATCGCACATAGAGAACGCAAGGCGAGGCAAGAGCCAGAAGGAACAAGATGTACGCTCCGGAGTTTCGATTGAGAGCGGTGGTACTGCGCTAGAGCAAGGGGTGGGTGGGCCGCTTCAACCGAGCGGAGCGAGGGGAAGATCTGTTAGTTTGTGCACTGGTGCGCAAAAGAGATGAAAATATGAAGTGAAGGCATTGGGAGAGAGCAAGGGTTAACCAACAAATCATGCTACAGATATGAATCTGTGCTACAGATACGTAAGTACATCTGCTTCGTTTCGCTGTTGCAGGCCTACGCAGATCTGGCCCGGCAGCATGCACCATGTCAGCTTCCAACAATATGTGTGAGAAAACATGATATTTGCTTATAAAATAGACCACTCTCTATGTTTCTAAAAGTCTTGGTGGTCAACGTCATCAATGTTATCCGCAGGCTCTGGGGAGGGACAAGTGCCGAGAAGATGCCGCTGCCCACAGAATTATGGCGGAGCAGTCCGAGTACAGTGCGTAGTTCTTGCACGTTCAACGCTAGCTGTAACTCGGACGAGCCGTTTGTACGTACAACTATCGTCTGGTATATAGCCTCGTCACGGTCTACAGGAGGATCTGCAGCACCAACGGCATTAAGGTGTTGCATCTGCCTAAAGGTTACCGTGGCGGGGACAGCTACAGCAGTCCTGCTGACTGGCGATCTTGAGGCATCTCCCAATGAGTGCGAGCGATGACACCTACTTGAACGTCGGGTCGGTGCGTGAGAAAGTCGTAGATGTCTTTAGCCGCTTCTTGGGTGCGGCTACGGGTAGCGCGACGGCGGTTTGCTTCACCTACCTGGTCCTCCCTCGCTGCAAACGCGAGAATTTCCAGGCAGAGTGGACCTGTGTCCTTTCAACGCCGCTGAAAGTTGGCTGTCACGGTGTCGAGGATGATAGTCCAGTTTGACTCGGTTAAGGTCACCCAGGCCTGTTGAGCGGCACCTTGACTTGGCTTAGCGTAGAGGTTAGTATCAAACGGCAGGGTCATAACGTCGTAGGCAGCAAGCGCTGCTACAACGCGCCCCTCAGCTTTTCCAAGGAAAGCTTCAAAACCACCGTCCGAATCAAACCGAAACTCAGGGCGCACAACACGGACGTTGGTCTGTTGATTCCTCCGATCTTGACCGAGATCTTGGCTAGAGTTTGTATTCTTGTGCTTCTTGCTCGATTTATTTGTCAGCCCTCCCTCGGAAAGTCGTGTTTGCTGGCGATATTCCAGCCACCAGGTACACGTCTGCATGGACGCCTGCACGCGAACGCGACGCGCGCATCAGCCGAACTCACGCATTTCATCGTTCGCACGCCGGAACGCCAGCAACGCTGGGTGATCCAGCTGGAGCACGCTCACCTCCGCCGCGCCGGCGGTTACTACATACACACAGGTCGGCGTCGAAGCGGACGGCTGGGTCGCCATTGTCGCCGTGGTATCGGGGCCGTACATCTCACACGTGACGTAGCCCTTGGACTCCATCGTCGACAGCGTCAACACCATCACCACCACCAGGATCACGAGCGAGCGCATCTCGGCGGTCGCAGCATACACACAGCTCGACGTCCACACGGGCGTCCGGGCCGCCGTCTCCGTCGTGGCTTCGCTCGACCCCGACGCGCAAGTAGCAGCCCACGGGCTTCAACAGCGTCGCCACCATCAGAAGCTGCCATTCATGGCCATCTGAGGAATGGAGTGAAAAACTTTTGGTCCAAGCGCTGCTCGAAAACAATTGTGGTTTGGTGATAGGATGAACATAAAATTAGTTTTCTTCTGGATATGATATGGTACATAAGAAGTATAGATCCACAAGCTTCATCATTTCAGCCAATCATGTTACTATAATGACTTCGGTATAGACATTATACTGTCCAGAAGGGCCATTTGTTGTACCGGTACCAAAAGAGTTAAGAGAGCAAATGGGTTCGGGGCTTAAATAGCTTTGCATCTTGGCGGCATAAGACTGATTCTAAATAGGAGAAACCAATAATAAATAGGGATGTGACCTAAATAAATATGGATTCCAGGAGAGCTCTACCAAAGCCCACCCAAAATATTTGCTACGGTGATAAACATGGCGTATTTCTCGTAGCAAATCCGACGTCTCCATAGATTGCATCGAGCGCAAATGGAGCGTACCATTATTTTGGTACAATTCCCAATCACCTGGCAGTACGTGCTGCGCATTCACGTCCGCGCTTCCAAGCTCCGCGCCATTGCCCAAGCAGTGGACAGCAGAGCCAACGGAAGAGGCTGAGGGTTTATGCAGCGGGGCTGCCGTAGCTTTAGCGTCAGAGGAAGACGTAACAGACTCACAGAGTCTCGGCTTAAGATAGGCCGTTCTAATACCAGAACGTACGAGTCCGTACACCTTACGGACTCCAAGAGTCAACCCTTAACTCATAACTGTGTGAATCTCAAACTGAATATATTTCCCTTTATTGCGGCAAAGCCGCCTACGGTGTAAATGTATCCGGTTCACTATCTAGCATAGTGAACCCTAGTCATATGCATAATCAGTGGCTCTGAAGCCATGTACTGATTCTCCTACTGATTTAGGTTAGACAGTGTCTACCCACTTCATAACCCTTCGGGTAACTCTTGTGTAACCCCGTTACACCCTCCCCCACCAAACCGTGGACACGGGTGTTCACGCTTAACGGTCAACCACCGGGTCTTGTTCCGTCAAGCCTCCTTCTCGAACGAGTCAATCCACATCGCGTGGACTTCTCTGAGAACTTCTCGGTGCAACGCACCCTCACATGACTTCAAGTCATAAAGCCTTTTAGTCTTTCGACCGCAGACAGCCTCTCGCGAGATCCGCCTCGGAGCCTCGCTCCTCTCGTGCTGCTGCACTGCGCCTCTGCGAACGCCAGCGCCCGCGCGCACACCCTCGACGCCTTCCAGGCTCTCGGTGTCTGAGTACTTCGCGGCGCAACGCCTGAAGCGCAGCTCGCAGCGCGCAAGCCCCGGCTCCCCTCGAGCACCAACCCGTCAGATCATGGATCCTAGGGAACTCTTTGGTGAAGAGGGCGAGCTGGACGAGTCCATGGAGGGTTCTCCGAACCGAGGAGATGCGTCCTCATCTCCCACACCGTCGACACGCCGTGAAGAAGGCTCGCCGGCCCCAGTTGGCTCTCTGAGCCGTCGTGATCAAGAGCGCCCCGCCCACACGTCTCCTGTGCGCTCGCCGGGCCGTCCACCTGCAGAGCGCGCTGCGCCGTCGAGGGAGGAGCCGCGGCCACCGCTGCGAACTCCAAACCCGTTCCCTGAACGCTCTTCCGGCCTCTACGAGCTGCGCGCGCTCACTGAGCCACGGTATTCGCCATCTCGTGGTGAGGGCGTGCCCCTGGGCCCCGTCATTTCCAACCCTTTGGACGAAGCTCAGTCCGAGCAGGTTGCGGCGCAGATGGCTCCCACGCGCTCCCAGCGCCCCGAGCTGCGGTCTCTGCTGAACCCCAGCACTGCCGACTACGGCTTCCGGCCTCGCGACCCCGCGGAGGCTTGTCGCCAGGCGTTCCAGCAGTCTCTCGCGCTACACACCATTGGGCCCGCGGCCCGTACTCCGGAGGAGCTTGCACTGCGTACGTCTCTGCGAGAGCGGCTCCTCACTCCACAGTCTACGATTGTCGCGGAGTATTGCGACAGGCTGCGGCTGCAAGCCCAGCAGAAGTCCGTGCCCGCCATGCGAACGTACTCGGTGGTACTTAGCCCGGGGGAAGACTCAATTGAGTACGAAGCTCAGTTCGAGTCTTGGGCCGAGCACAGCCAAAAGCTCAGCTCCATGGACGCTCTCCGAGCCAGCTTCAGTAAAGTGGATGTTCGCATTGAATGCAAGCTCCGCTTCGATTTCGCGAAGGTCCGAGCCAAGCGCAGCCTCTCGGCACTCGCCCAGCCGCAGACCCAGTTTAGCGCTGCGCGCTTCGCTCCTTTGAGCACTCCAGCCGCTCCTTCCCGCGAGAGAGTGAGCGCTGTGGCTCAGGGCCAGCCTCGGAGCAATGTGCTGACCCAGCAGCTCCCCAGCTTATTGCCGGGAAGCGCGGGACGGCCGGCGTGCCGGCGTTGAGCCCTCGGGGCGCTGGTGATCAAGCTGATCAAAATCGTCCACGACGTCTGGGCAGTATTGGCGGAGGGGCACCTCAAACTCCCATGGGTTCTCGGAGTGAGGGTACCCTCGCCATTTCACCAGATACTGGTTTTGACCCCGGCACCGCCGCTTCGCCAGGAGGCGCTCCACATGGTAATGTAGATTCCCATGCTCATCGAGCAGGGCCGGTGGAGGCCGCTGTGGGGCCCTTTGCGACTCAAAGTGAGCTCTTGGAGGCGCGGCAGCAGGCGGGTCGCCTTCGGGATCATATCCATGACGTTGATGCGCGTCTGGGCCGGACTGCCACCGAACTCGACGAGCTCGCCGGGCGGACGCGATGGATCGAGGTGCGTCGAGCGGTCTGGGACCGCCTTGGGGCCCTGGAGGACTGGGTGCGATACTATCGCGATCGCGATGAGCAACGTGGCCGCGAGCTCGGGGAGCTACAGCGTCAGCTCGACCTCCTGGCCCGCATGCAGACTCCGACTGCCGCGCCTCCTGCACCTGCGGCTCTCGTTGTGCCGGCGGCACCTCCGGCGCCGATTCTTCCGCCTGTGCCTGCGGTGCCCGCGTGGATGGTCGCGTCCTCGACGACCGCGCCTGTGACCTCGTCACCCTCGGTGCCTCCATCTGCACCTGCATCGGGTCCTGGTACGGCTTGAGCAAGCCCACGTAGAAGACGGGGTGCGTCCGCATCTTCTTCGGAAGATTGAGCGTGTACGCAAGGCCCTTCTTGGCCACAACCTTGAAAGGTCCGATGAAGCGCGGGTGCAACTTCGTCTTGAAGACGGCAGACACTGCATGTGTAGGTAGGCTCTTAGCATTAAGCAGCACCAGGTCCCCGACCTCATAACTTTCAACATTGCCTCTGGCCCTGGCATCTGCATGTTCCATTTGTTTGTCTTGGCTCTCAGCCATTGCGTCACGCACGTGTCGTAAGACACTCAGACGCGTCGACAAGAAAGCGTCAACCTGTTTACGAACAGTAGCCGAGCTGACATCGGCTAGCCGATCAGCTAAATCGGCTTCTCCTCCCCCACCAAGCCCGAGGCCACCACGTGGCGGCGTCAGCGGGACGCGGGGATGAGACAAGCTGTTCACGTAGAATGGCGTGTAGCCTGTCGAGGTGTGCACGGCGTTGTTCAACGCAAACTCAACGAGTGGCAGCATGGCGCTCCAGCGCTTCGGCGTCTCGGCGCAAATGCTGCGGAGCACGTCCTCGACGACGCGATTCACGCGCTCTGTCTGACCATCGGTCTGCGGATGGTCCGCCGTGGACATGTCCAGCTTGGTGCCAAGCACCGCAAAGACCGCGCTCCAGAAGTTGCCCGTGAAGCGGGGGTCTCGGTCCGAGACAATCGACTCAGGGAGTCCGTGTTGTCGAAACACTCGGTCCAAGAACAGCGTTGCTGTACCTTTACCATTGATGGTATCCGGCACAGCCGCAATGTGAGCCATCTTGCTCAGTCGGTCCACGAAGACCACGACTCCTGTGTTGCCGGCCGCGTCCGCCGGCAGGCCAAACACAAATTCCATACTCATGGATTGCCAACAGCCCGAAGGGACAGGAAAACTCGCCAACGGCGCGGCAGCATGAGGTGACGACTTCACTCGCTGACACGTCTCGCACGTGCGCACGTAAGTGCTCGTCCACTTATACATCTTCGGCCACCAGTAGTGGGTGCTCCCCGAGCTGTAGGTCCTCTCACGGCCAAGATGGCCGGCCAGCGGCGTGTCGTGTGCCTCATAGAGGATGCGAAACTTCAGATCCTCATCATGAGGGATGACCACGCGGGGCGTATCCTCGGGGCCGGTGTTGTAGAACAACAGGCCTCCATCGAGGGAATAACGGTGTAGTCGCGCGCGCAGCCGCGCTGACAATTTCATGTCCGAGTCTTGAAACTCCTTGCTCCCCAGAGCCTTCAGCAACGCGACACAAGTGTCGTCCTTGGCATAAGCCGTTCGGATCAAATCCGGTAATGACGAAGTCACGGTCGTTACATGAGCCAGCTCAGAATCCGGCCTGCGCGACAGCGCGTCCGCGAGGATATTCTGCCTGCCAGGCTTGTACTTCACCTCGAAGTTGTACTCCGCGAAGAAGGACAGCCAGCGGGCCATCCTTTGCGAGAGATGAAGCGACTGAGTCGCAGTGCGTAACGACGCATGATCCGTGTAAATCACGAACGGCTAAGAGCCCAACAGGTGCACCCTGAACTTGACGAGCGCATACTTCATTGCAAGTAGCTCCTTGTCGTGGACAGGATAGTTCTTTTCCGTAGCCTTCAGCTGGCGAGATTCGAACGCCACCACGCGCTCGCGCCCCTCGGCGTCTGCTTGCAGCAGGGCACAGTCGATGGCAAAGTCCGAGGCGTCACAGACGACACTAAACGGACGAGCGGGGTCTGGCAAAGCCAGAGTAGGCGCATGAAGGAGACTGTCCTTAATTGCCGCAAACGCATCTTGATGCTCGGTGTCCCAACACCACTCCGCATCCTTCTTCAGGAGATTGGAGAGTGGCCGAGCCATCTCAGCGTAGTTCTCGCTGTACTTGTGCAAGTAATTGGCCAAGCCAAGCCACTTGCGAAGATCCTTCTGGTTCTTGGGAACCGGCCAGTCAACAATGGCCTTGACCTTGACCGGGTCGGCCCTCAGGCCACGCTTCCCGATGAAGCACCCTAAGAAGGGGATCTCTTCCGCTCCGAAGATGCATTTGTCAATGTTGGCGTACAACTTGTTTTGACGCATGCATTCGAGCACAGCACGCAGGTGCTCCACATGGTTCTCCATATCAGTCTTTCCGTGCTCCGCACGACTGTGGACAAAGATGTCATCGAAGTACGTTTGCGCGTACGCCCGATGGGGCCTGAAGAGCTGCGTCACAAGACGATTAAACGTCGCTGGCGCGTTCGAAAGCCATTGGGGCATCACCAACCACTCCCAGAGCATGCCGCTCGGTGTACTCACCGCAGTGAGAGGAATGTCGCTCGTCCTCATGAGCAATTGGTAATACCCATCGACCAAGTCGAGCGCACTGTACATCGTACATCCTGTCATGTTGTTCTGAAGAACATCCTTCTGAGGGATCGGCGTCTGCGCCGGAATGGTAGCGGCATTCAGCTTGTTGAAAGCATGCACGATACACCACTTGCCATTCGGCTTTCTGACACAGAACGTCGGCGTAGAGGGTGGAGACTTACTCTCACACACCATGCCCGCCTCGTGCTTCGCACGGAAGAACGCATCAATGACGTCACACTGCTCCTTCGGCAAGGACCACTGCCTCGTCACACAGTACTTCGTTCCCGGAACGAGATCGATTCCGTGTCGAACACCTCGATCCGGAGGTAGCCCCGAGGGCGGCTCCTTCGAAACCCCGTCCTGGTAATCCTTTACCACTTGATACAAGGGATCCGACGGGTCCTTCAGGATCGCCGATCCGCTCCGCGCATTCAGCGCCTTCTTGGTGTCTTCCAGGACAGCTTCATCCAGAAGCGAGGACGAGTTCAACTCTTCTTCGGGTCGTATGACCACTACCTCGGCCAAGTCTCCAGCCTTCAAGGCTTCGCCGAACTCGGCCAAGGACATCTCGTCCAGCTCCAGGAGAGCAGACAGTGAGGGCAAGTCGTCGAGGTTGATACCTCCGTCGACGTCGCCCGTCACTCCATTCACGAGTGTATAGAGCTGCTCGCTCTCGCGTGGAGCCTCGCCGCTCGACACGCCCTTCTCGACTCGTGAGATCGCAGACGCCTTGCGTCTCGCAGCCAGCGCTTTGCGGCGCTGCCTCCTCTTCATGGACACCGTCCGCCCTGAAGAGCTCCGTGATTTCGCGTGCGTCTTGACGCCAGGTGTCACCACCTCGTTCAGCTCCGGGGGAGCTCCAGTGTCTTTACCGACACTCAGCGAAGAGCTGCACGATCCGCAGCCTCCACACAGTGGATTACGTGCCACTCCACGATCTTCATCCGGGCAAAGCCCCTTGTTCTTCGGCATCGTGCCGACCGCGCCGTCGCTGGCACGCAGCAGGGCGTCGTCCTCAGACGCACGCCCGCTCAGCGGAATTAGTGCCGCTCCACATCCTTGATCCGGGCAACGCCCATCGTCACTCGACTTCCTGTCGACCGCGCCTTCACCGGCACGCAACAGGGCGTCGCCCTCAGACGCACGCCCGCTCAGCGGAATTAGTGCCGCTCCACCTGCCGTCCGCGAGCCACGCTCGGAACGCTCGTTCTCGACACACTCAGTGTCCACCAACTCGGAAACTCCGATGTTCAGCACATTGACCGACTCGGTCCAGTGCTCGCGCCAAAAGCGCTTCTGCTTCCTAGCAGAGGTGGGCTCATGACTCGCCAATGCTCCGCCAGGAGAGAAGTGCGTAGCACCAAGGGTCTTCGACCTCCAATCGATCCAAGGCTCGTGGCGTTCCAGCCACGCCATTCCAAGGATGAGATCATATCTCGAATCGAGATCTAAGACCAGACAGCGTTCCACGCTATCAAAATCCAAAAACTTCACGCCCAGGTCCACAGGGACCTTAGGCACCGTGACACGAGTGCCCGTCGCGAGACGAACAGTGACGATGTCACTCCCGCGCGCTACCAGCGCCTCAGCATAAAGCTGACTTCCGTCCATCGTAGAACGCCGGGCGTAGTTACCCGACGCTCCCGAATCGATCAAAATCGTCCATGGCTTGGTGAAGCCCTTCACCCAAGCTCAATAGAACTTAGTTCTTCCCCAGTAAGCCGCCCCGCGCCTACTGGGACTTCTCGTTTCCCCGAGACAAACCAGAGCCCTGGCTCGAACTCGAAGAGCGGCTTGACGAAGCCTGGCGCTGATGGCGCAGCGGACACCCAGCACGAAGGTGACGGGTGTCACCACAGATGAAACATCTGCGGATACCGCGACGCTGCTCAGCAGCACGAAGCTCGGCTTCTTCGTCTTCAGCATAGCTGAGGTCCATGGGTTCCGGACCACTCGACGCGCTAGCGTAAGACGCGCTCCACCCAAGTCTCGATGGCTTAAAGTTGTGTTCCGCATTCAATGCGACGCTCACAGCCTCTTCAAAAGAGCTCGGGTGGGTTCGGAACGCCTCCGTCCTGGCAACGCCAGTGCGAAGACCTTCCATGAACACCGTAACGGTGACTGCTTCCGGCAGTGGGTCCGCCGACATGCTAGCAATGAGAGTTCTCAACTCTTGGACATAGTCCACCAACTCCTTCTTGCTCTGCCGAGTAGCCAGGAAGCGTGAGCGCACGCGATACGCCTCGTTAGGCGGAGCGAACACCCGGGACAATTGCTGTTTCAGCTGGTCCCACGTCGGGAAGGCCACCTCGACCGACGTCCCGGACGTTAGTGCCCACTGTCTCGCTCGCCCACCGAGCTTCGAGATAGCTAGTGCCACGCGCTGCGACTCCGTCCGAAGTAGAGCTGAGCTCATAGCCATCTCAACCTCACGGGTCCAAAGCATCAAGCTTTCACCCTCCTTGCCTTCGAAGGTCTTCACGCTCAACATGAGCGGCTTGGGTCTTGTTCCCACGTCGGATGGCGAAGCGGGCGCTTGGGGCGGAGCGGCCGTTGCCATCCTCTGCTGGAGGTGCTCTAGCAGAGCATTCTCGTAGCTTGAAAACGCCTCGAGACGCGCAGTCACCGCGTCGGGGCCTTGATGCGCAAGTTGCGTTACACCCTCCGGGCCTAGCAAAGACATGAGCTTTTTAAGCGCATCCTGCTGGTTCGGGGGCAAGTGAGCGAACTGCTCCATTCTCCACAGAGGGTCAAGCTATACAGACTCAGGTGTCGGATTGACTACAAGAGCTACCAAGTGCAGCGGGGCTGCCGTAGCTTTAGCGTCAGAGGAAGACGTAACAGACTCACAGAGTCTCGGCTTAAGATAGCCCGTTCTAATACCAGAACGTACGAGTCCGTACACCTTACGGACTCCAAGAGTCAACCCTTAACTCTTAACTGTGTGAATCTCAAACTGAATATATTTCCCTTTATTGCGGCAAAGCCGCCTACGGTGTAAATGTATCCGGTTCACTATCTAGCATAGTGAACCCTAGTCATATGCATAATCAGTGGCTCTGAAGCCATGTACTGATTCTCCTACTGATTTAGGTTAGACAGTGTCTACCCACTTCATAACCCTTCGGGTAACTCTTGTGTAACCCCGTTACAGTTTACTACCACCCAAGTTGATTTTACTTGCACATTCACGTACACATCGTTTTTGCTACTGTCTAATGAGATGACTGGCCGCAGCGCGGCACGGTCACTGGCCAACATGTACGATGTATTTAGCACTCAAATTTGCTGTTAGCGTATGACAATTGTCGTATCCAGCAAAATGTCATACAGTTGAATCTATCCAATCAGATTCAAGTATTTTGTCAGGGCGCAATCACTCGAAAAGCAATTGTTGTATCCGACTCCAATCTGGTGTTTATCAATTCTGTAACGGAGTTACTTGCAAGTGTACCCTGTGGGTATGGTACAGTGTACCTCATGGCCTATGGGCCAGTCATCTGCATATAAGTTCCGGATCTTGGTGATTAACCTAAATATTGTGGAGGAAAGTGTGGAAGCTTTTTGTTCGACAATTTGTTGCGTACGCTTAGAGAATGTAAACTGTGCTCATTCAACGGCTTCAACATGCCCAATCACTTTATATACTACCGGTTTGATCCGGAATCCAGATAAACGGTTTGAACCGGATTGTACCTTTATGCATTCATGCAAGAATACTTTTAGTGTGAAAACCGCAAAGAATATCTAATCGGATTGTAAATCGGTTGTTTTAGTAATTCTTTAGAGACTGGAACTCTTCCAAAACTAACACAAACGCTGTCGTAAATTGCAATTTATGTGCCAAATAGGGGCCTTCAGAAAATCACGCAAATCGCAAATTCGACAAACGCAAAATCCGTAGCAAATTGAGGGGTAGGGAACACAAAACCGCTCGTATTTTGCTGAGACGATTTTGCGGTCTCTGCAAAATACGACGACGTAACCTCAAATAGCGACGTCCAACCAAAGTTGACTGGACTCCGTGTGCTTCCTGTTTCGCCTGGCAGCTTCAGCTTCATTATTGGATTCGACACAATGGCTAGAGGAAGAGGGTGGTCCACCCCAGAGACGCTGTACATGCTGGGGCTTGTCGAGCAGATCCTACCGTTCGGCTCAAACCAGTGGAACGCCGTCCAGTTGCAGTACAACACTGGGCTACCCAACGGCTTTGGTGCCCGCGATGCGGACTCGATCAAGAGGAAATTCTACGCTCTCAAGAACACGCGCAAGCCTACAGGTGACCCTAACTGTCCTGCAGACGTCGCGCAAGCTAAGCGCATCTATCGCACACGGGCGAGCCCCGTTTGTCATCGTTGCCAACCCCGTCTGATGGTGGTGCAGTCTCTGCATGCGTCGCAGCCATCGACAGCTCCTGCAGCAGTGTCTGCCCTGCAGAGCCCAAGCAGCAGTAGCAGCGTCAACGCAGTATTGTCCTGGCCATAAAGGCTTGGACGAAAATGGTAATAAATTACGTCCATTTTAAGATCGCCACATCTCGACTTCCAGTAGCTCAAATTAGGTATGGATGGCACCATTAAAAAAGTTGATGTCTATTAATACTTCTACTAGCAGTACGTTGCCCACTTTCGCCTTCATTCGACAAATGGCGCCTGGTAAGAAATTGTCGGCTGCTGAAAAATACCTGGTGGCAAGGGCCTACCAGTATTTCCACGATATCAAAAAGGCAAAGCCGCTGAACTGGAAGGGAGACGTCAGAGACTATGTGCACGACTGTCTAGGCTTCGCGACGGGCGCGATATCGGAAATTTGGGGGCATTGGAAGAAGTACAATGACCCAAAGTTTGCCTCGGTGGGTGGTTGCAGTATGCTTATCAGTTATAATTGATATTTAACTTTTACTAATCGAAATATGATATATTCCAGATGATAGGTCAGAAACCAACTGGCAGACCGCGCAAATACGGCGAAAGTTTGCATTCCATGGTGCGTGAGTTGGTATCGGAGATGAATAAAAGCGGGACACCTGTTTCAGCACCAAAGCTGGCTAAGCGTTTGAAAGAAGCGCACGACATTGTAGTTTCGGTGCGTTCATTGCGTCGTATCTTGCGATGAATGGGTATGCGGTTCATCAAAGGCAAGTCCCGCAACATTTTGGCAGAGTCTACCGCCAATGTCACCTTCCGCAACAAGTACCTCAAGAAAAAGCTGGCTAATCTGAACAGGAGGAACTTCCCTATTCGGCCTGAGGTGTATTTGAACGAAACATTTCGCAATTTGAACCATGTTGCGCAGCTGTCATGGGTCGATACAGATAAAGTATGATATGCGAAGAGCGGTCGCGGCCCCAGGTAATTCGCATAAATGTTTTTTTAATCACATTTGTTGTTTGTATAGTTAGTTATTTTACTGTTTATATTTTCCCAAAAGGTTCTGAATTTTTGGCGCCGGTATAATTCGTCGTGAAAAGAATGGAATTGTCGGCCTGTTGATTGACTAATCACGCGAGGTTTGGCAGTCCAACCTAAAACGCAAGCACGATGATGATTACCACGGGAATTTCAACACGGAGCAGTTCGAAAGGTGGTTTGAAAATCTGAGTGCTGTATTAGCTGCAAAATATGACCTCTGCAATATTCACATGGATGGAGCCAGCTACCACAAGAACCATATCAATCGTGCTCCAAGTTCCAGAACTCTTAAGGTCGATATTCAAGACTGGCTGCAGAAAAATGGTAAGTTAATTTGTTACTCTCCCTAACGTATTAGATATTAACAAAATTGTACTGCTGCTTAGAGATTTGGTACGACTCTAGTTACACGAAAGCAGAGTTAATGATACTTGTCCGAGCCAACAAACCCAAAGCAATCTACAGAGCGACTGAAATCGCCACGAAGCACGGCCATCTTCTCTATTATACACCGCCTTACCACCCCGAATTGCAGCCTGTCGAGCTTATCTGGGCGAACATTAAGGGAAAAATTGTCGATGACCCTGCGAGCGATATGGAGGAGCAACGCCGTAAAATCGACACCGGGTTTGATTCCCTCACCTCAGATACATGGACGGACACGCACGCCCGTGCTCAAAAATACGAAAAGATCTACATGGAGCTGGTAGACGAGTGCGAAATACAGTCGGATGAAGACGAAAGCGATGACGACGATGACGAGGATAAAAATGACAGTAATTGAGCGCATGGCCGCGTAGATATTCCCATCCTAAGATTTTTTTAACAAGTTCACCATCATGCAGCAATCACGATATGAGACAGGAAGACGGTAATTTATGCATTCTGACCGTACATCATCATCTGTTATCTTGTGTCGGCCAATTAATACATTCAATTTGTGCACGTGACCGGCTTCCAATTGCAAACAAAAACGCAAGAAATAGAAGCTTTTTCCAACAGCCGAAAAGACCGTGAAGGAGTTCAGATACGCGGAAATGGACCGCAAAATCAGAATCTACGCCCGATTTTACCCCTTATATCTAACTATCGTTACAGGTTTTATGCATGCAAGCACACCTAATTATTACCCAAAGTCCGTCCAAGGTTTGGTGTCCGGGACAATAGCTGCTTCAAACACGAACACGGTAAGCATACTCCCCTTAATTATTTCGCTGTTTTGTACTAAACTTAAGTCTTATCCCAATATTATTTACAGGTCCCACCAAATGCGTCGCTGGCTGGTATCACGCACCGGAAGGACTCCATCTGAGCTGGAGCAGCTCGGATTGCAGATAGAAGCAGGAACAACCGAGCTGCTGTCTGAGTCTGCGCGTAAACGGCGTAGGGTCGACCGAATGCTGGACAGGCTTGAGGCCGAGGGCAGCACGGACTGGGGTGCGATTCTCGGAGCGATTGACGAACGAGCTGCTACGCGTGAGGCGGAATATCGTCAAGAGCGCGATACCCAGCGTCGCCTAGAAGAGGAGAGGAGCGAGGAGCGCGAGCAACGCCGCGAAGAACAGCGCGAAGAGCGCGAGAGACTGCGTGAGGAACGCTTTTTAACCCTTATTACTGCGATTGCTAAGAAGCAAGAGTAGCTGCTGGCTACAACAGAAGCAAGTTAAGGATAGCTTTATTATTACATAAAGACTGTCCTAATCTGACTAATACCCGTTTGGCGAACCAAAAAATTGAAGAGCCGATAGATATTGTTAATACGCTTTCCTCGCTTGATAGGATGACAAGGCAACGGCAATTGCTGTTGCCGGTAGCATTGGGGGGCGCTTCCCATGCCCCACTCCGCTGCCTGTCGCAGCGACGTTATCGCGTTGCTCATTGCAAGCACACCCAGCCGACACTTTGCGGGGGCACGTTCTAGATCACCATCCTTGATCGGCGTAATAATACGCCCGCGCATCCCCTTGGACACTGGAAACGCTGTATCAGCAGCAACACCGGTCCCTTGAACAGTCATATCGGGATCGGCAAGTTTCTCTTGCAGGGCAAAGCTAATCTCCCCGTCGTTCCATGAACCGGGGTAGTTATGCTTTGCCCACACGAGAGTCCCATCACAGCCATAGCAAAGTGTGCCAGTCACAAGTACCGAATGTAGCCAACCTAAAATCATAACGCATGCATACATGTTAGTCGATAGAAAATAAATATCTATACCAACGTGATTCATACCGTTGTAGTGCGCGTTTTGCAAGTCGACGCCCGATGGCTCCTGAACTCGATAGTTCTTTCCATCAACAAATCCCCATACACCCTCTACCAAAGGCTCGCGCGCTTTAACTGCTGCCGCCCACGCGACTTGCGTCTGCTTGGTAGGATAGCGAACAGCAGCATCGGGAAGCTCATTAAGCGCTAGCTCCAGCGCTATTTCAGCCCTTGCCAACACACTTGACAAAGTAGCTGGCGGACTACCGAATATTTCACACAGTGTCTTCTGTTCTACAGCTGCCGTGTAGAAGTGCAGCACACAACCTAGTACTGCATGCAAGAAACGCAGTTTTGGCGGGCGTCCGCGCTGACCGGGCCTCCACTTGAGCTGGTAGAACTTGGCAAACTTCGCTAGGAGTAACTCGAACGCTGTGGGTGGTAGGGATACGGCAGCTATGAAGCTACCAGGAAGCTTTTCGTCGTAGAGTTGCTGCCACGCGGATTGGAGCGGGTCCTGCAGACTCGCTACGGTAAGGTAGTCTCTCTCCTTGGTAGTGCCTCTTAGTAGAAGCAGGCGCAGCGCTCGTCTGCGCCGTTGTTGATGTGCGGAAGCTTTTGCCGCAACGACAGCCTTCACGTCCATCGGAGTAATGCGAACTGCAAGAACACCAGAGCCAAGCATGATACTGTATTTGTAAGTTCTGACAAATATCGATAATTTTGTGTCATTTATAAGACACCTCATGGTGTAGCCATCTCGCAGATGCAGGCACAAATGTGATTTGCGAGATTTTGCGTTCACCTACACCTAGATTTGCGTTGGGATTGTGAGCGCCAAAATCACAAGCAAAATGCAACCACAGAGTAGGCAAGTTTAGGCGGCGACAAATAGTCTATGGAGAGGATTGCAACTCCAGGGCTTAGCGGAAAACACAGTAGCGATAACGATCAATCCAGTGATATGCATTACAATGTATGAAAACGATGGTAAGTGCATCGAATAGCATTCGCAAAATCACTCGCAATTTGCAGACTCCAAAATCGTCTCCGCAAATTGCGACTGATTTTGCGAGCGCATCGGTGCATTTTGCTACAGGATTTGCGTTTGTCGAATTTGCGACTTGCGTGATTTTCTGAAGTCCCCCAATACGTCCCAATTTGCGTCGTGTTTGCTACAACCGATGATGCCGACCAAAACCTTATAGCAATTGTCGTATCCAGCAGATAAATACTAAGTACGAAGTATACCTCGTAAACATGATAATCACATATGAGAACGTAGATGAAACGATATACAGTACAATTTCGATATTGTAGCGCGTTGTCTTGCTTGAATTTTGCTGCACGATCACTCTCCATCGTCTGTTGTACAAGGCTGCACATGCCAGCATGTTGCCGTAAATTTGCAGCGGGGTTGCGGTAGCGCACAGGAAAGGTTTCCGACTCAAAGAGTCCAACCAGGGTCTTATCCGAGGACCCGCGAAACAAGTCAAAGACTTCATGGTAAGAATGAGAACTGTCTTGAAAGCTTGCTGCGGCAGCGCCGCCTATTCCTACTATCTATGGCTGACTATCTAGCATAGTCAGCCCTACATGGTTGGCAGCTCCTTTATAAGGATGTCCACTACGAGCGGAGATAATGGGGGCCTTCAGAAAATCGCGCAAATCACATTTCGTCGCAATTTGAGAGCGATTTTGCGTTCACCTACACCTAGATTTGCGTTGGGATTGTGAGCGCCAAAATCACAAGCAAAATGCAACCACAGAGTAGGCAAGTTTAGGCGGCGACAAATAGTCTATGGAGAGGATTGCAACTCCAGGGCTTAGCGGAAAACACAGTAGCGATAACGATCAATCCAGTGATATGCATTACAATGTATGAAAACGATGGTAAGTGCATCGAATAGCATTCGCAAAATCACTCGCAATTTGCAGACTCCAAAATCGTCTCCGCAAATTGCGACTGATTTTGTGAGCGCATCGGTGCATTTTGCTACAGGATTTGCGTTTGTCGAATTTGCGACTTGCGTGATTTTCTGAAGTCCCCCAATACGTCCCAATTTGCGTCGTGTTTGCTACAACCGATGATGCCGACCAAAACCTTATAGCAATTGTCGTATCCAGCAGATAAATACTAAGTACGAAGTATACCTCGTAAACATGATAATCACATATGAGAACGTAGATGAAACGATATACAGTAGAATTTCGATATTGTAGCGCGTTGTCTTGCTTGAATTTTGCTGCACGATCACTCTCCATCGTCTGTTGTACAAGGCTGCACATGCCAGCATGTTGCCGTAAATTTGCAGCGGGGTTGCGGTAGCGCACAGGAAAAGTTTCCGACTCAAAGAGTCCAACCAGGGTCTTATCCGAGGACCCGCGAAACAAGTCAAAGACTTCTTGGTAAGAATGAGAACTGTCTTGAAAGCTTGCTGCGGCAGCGCCGCCTATTCCTACTATCTATGGCTGACTATCTAGCATAGTCAGTCCTACATGGTTGGCAGCTCCTTTATAAGGATGTCCACTACGAGCGGAGATAATGGGGGCCTTCAGAAAATCGCGCAAATCACATTTCGTCGCAATTTGAGAGCGATTTTGCGTTCACCTACACCTAGATTTGCGTTGGGATTGTGAGCGCCAAAATCACAAGCAAAATGCAACCACAGAGTAGGCAAGTTTAGGCGGCGACAAATAGTCTATGGAGAGGATTGCAACTCCAGGGCTTAGCGGAAAACACAGTAGCGATAACGATCAATCCAGTGATATGCATTACAATGTATGAAAACGATGGTAAGTGCATCGAATAGCATTCGCAAAATCACTCGCAATTTGCAGACTCCAAAATCGTCTCCGCAAATTGCGACTGATTTTGCGAGCGCATCGGTGCATTTTGCTACAGGATTTGCGTTTGTCGAATTTGCGACTTGCGTGATTTTCTGAAGTCCCCCAATACGTCCCAATTTGCGTCGTGTTTGCTACAACCGATGATGCCGACCAAAACCTTATAGCAATTGTCGTATCCAGCAGATAAATACTAAGTACGAAGTATACCTCGTAAACATGATAATCACATATGAGAACGTAGATGAAACGATATACAGTAGAATTTCGATATTGTAGCGCGTTGTCTTGCTTGAATTTTGCTGCACGATCACTCTCCATCGTCTGTTGTACAAGGCTGCACATGCCAGCATGTTGCCGTAAATTTGCAGCGGGGTTGCGGTAGCGCACAGGAAAGGTTTCCGACTCAAAGAGTCCAACCAGGGTCTTATCCGAGGACCCGCGAAACAAGTCAAAGACTTCTTGGTAAGAATGAGAACTGTCTTGAAAGCTTGCTGCGGCAGCGCCGCCTATTCCTACTATCTATGGCTGACTATCTAGCATAGTCAGCCCTACATGGTTGGCAGCTCCTTTATAAGGATGTCCACTACGAGCGGAGATAATGGGGGCCTTCAGAAAATCGCGCAAATCACATTTCGTCGCAATTTGAGAGCGATTTTGCGTTCACCTACACCTAGATTTGCGTTGGGATTGTGAGCGCCAAAATCACAAGCAAAATGCAACCACAGAGTAGGCAAGTTTAGGCGGCGACAAATAGTCTATGGAGAGGATTGCAACTCCAGGGCTTAGCGGAAAACACAGTAGCGATAACGATCAATCCAGTGATATGCATTACAATGTATGAAAACGATGGTAAGTGCATCGAATAGCATTCGCAAAATCACTCGCAATTTGCAGACTCCAAAATCGTCTCCGCAAATTGCGACTGATTTTGCGAGCGCATCGGTGCATTTTGCTACAGGATTTGCGTTTGTCGAATTTGCGACTTGCATGATTTTCTGAAGTCCCCCAATACGTCCCAATTTGCGTCGTGTTTGCTACAACCGATGATGCCGACCAAAACCTTATAGCAATTGTCGTATCCAGCAGATAAATACTAAGTACGAAGTATACCTCGTAAACATGATAATCACATATGAGAACGTAGATGAAACGATATACAGTAGAATTTCGATATTGTAGCGCGTTGTCTTGCTTGAATTTTGCTGCACGATCACTCTCCATCGTCTGTTGTACAAGGCTGCACATGCCAGCATGTTGCCGTAAATTTGCAGCGGGGTTGCGGTAGCGCACAGGAAAGGTTTCCGACTCAAAGAGTCCAACCAGGGTCTTATCCGAGGACCCGCGAAACAAGTCAAAGACTTCTTGGTAAGAATGAGAACTGTCTTGAAAGCTTGCTGCGGCAGCGCCGCCTATTCCTACTATCTATGGCTGACTATCTAGCATAGTCAGCCCTACATGGTTGGCAGCTCCTTTATAAGGATGTCCACTACGAGCGGAGATAATGGGGGCCTTCAGAAAATCGCGCAAATCACATTTCGTCGCAATTTGAGAGCGATTTTGCGTTCACCTACACCTAGATTTGCGTTGGGATTGTGAGCGCCAAAATCACAAGCAAAATGCAACCACAGAGTAGGCAAGTTTAGGCGGCGACAAATAGTCTATGGAGAGGATTGCAACTCCAGGGCTTAGCGGAAAACACAGTAGCGATAACGATCAATCCAGTGATATGCATTACAATGTATGAAAACGATGGTAAGTGCATCGAATAGCATTCGCAAAATCACTCGCAATTTGCAGACTCCAAAATCGTCTCCGCAAATTGCGACTGATTTTGCGAGCGCATCGGTGCATTTTGCTACAGGATTTGCGTTTGTCGAATTTGCGACTTGCGTGATTTTCTGAAGTCCCCCAATACGTCCCAATTTGCGTCGTGTTTGCTACAACCGATGATGCCGACCAAAACCTTATAGCAATTGTCGTATCCAGCAGATAAATACTAAGTACGAAGTATACCTCGTAAACATGATAATCACATATGAGAACGTAGATGAAACGATATATAGTAGAATTTCGATATTGTAGCGCGTTGTCTTGCTTGAATTTTGCTGCACGATCACTCTCCATCGTCTGTTGTACAAGGCTGCACATGCCAGCATGTTGCCGTAAATTTGCAGCGGGGTTGCGGTAGCGCACAGGAAAGGTTTCCGACTCAAAGAGTCCAACCAGGGTCTTATCCGAGGACCCGCGAAACAAGTCAAAGACTTCTTGGTAAGAATGAGAACTGTCTTGAAAGCTTGCTGCGGCAGCGCCGCCTATTCCTACTATCTATGGCTGACTATCTAGCATAGTCAGCCCTACATGGTTGGCAGCTCCTTTATAAGGATGTCCACTACGAGCGGAGATAATGGGGGCCTTCAGAAAATCGCGCAAATCACATTTCGTCGCAATTTGAGAGCGATTTTGCGTTCACCTACACCTAGATTTGCGTTGGGATTGTGAGCGCCAAAATCACAAGCAAAATGCAACCACAGAGTAGGCAAGGTTAGGCGGCGACAAATAGTCTATGGAGAGGATTGCAACTCCAGGGCTTAGCGGAAAACACAGTAGCGATAACGATCAATCCAGTGATATGCATTACAATGTATGAAAACGATGGTAAGTGCATCGAATAGCATTCGCAAAATCACTCGCAATTTGCAGACTCCAAAATCGTCTCCGCAAATTGCGACTGATTTTGCGAGCGCATCGGTGCATTTTGCTACAGGATTTGCGTTTGTCGAATTTGCGACTTGCGTG